CGCTGGGGTCCCCCAGGACCAGCTAGCACGTGGTCCTACTCCATCAGTGCTGGAGTAGTGGCAGCTGATACCGACTGAGCCGGGGGCTCCAAACTCGGTGTAGTCGTTACCGCCCTACGACATTTAATCAAGTCTGACATCTGCACAATTTCATTAATCAAATTTAGCACATACAATGTGATTAAAAAATTGAACTAATTAATTAAAATCATAGTTTGACCTAGGGTTTGCGATTTCGGAGTATCCGGGACTCCGATCCACGATCCGTCGAATCCTAAACGATCCTATAAATACATGGTACCACATACGTGAGTTTCAGCTCGATCCAACAGTCCGAACATATCAAACCCGAAAATCACACAATAGGTTCGGACCGTTCGAGACTCAAACGATAACCAAATTCCAATCCGAGCACACCTACGCGCTCGTGACAACGAAATGTTTGCACTGGGACCCAATGCCCTATACCACAGTACCCCACGCACTGGCAGCGCGTGGGTGCCCAAAGCGATAACAATCACCGGGAAATCCTAAAAATTAAGGGCCAAGGTTCCTACCCTAGGTTCAAAACATCAATTGGAGGCACTTTTGTTCTCGGACCTACCCCGAAAAACGGCCGGAAGTGGCCAGAATTTCAATTTCAAAACCGGCCGAAACCTAGGGTTTCAAATTCACTACCCTATGCACGCAATCAATCAAATTCTACACAACCATCAGCTAAAGCATCAAAAATAATCCAGAAAGCATACCTCAATTGCCGGATTTGCTGCCCGGAGGAGAGAGAACAATGGCGGCGAAGACTCGGCCTAAACGGAGGAAATCACGGCGGCAGGATGGACGGCGACGGCGGAGAAGCTCCAGGGTTCGACGCTTGTGGCGGCAGGGTCTGAATTGGGGCGGAGTAGGGGCTGAGGTCTCGGCGGAGAGAGAGGGAGGATTTAGGGTTCCAGTTTGAGAAACTGGGGAAGAAGGAGAAGATCGCGATTTTCAGAAAACTTATTCGACTTTGGGCGACGAATAAACAAGTCCGTCGCGCAAAATTCATTAAAAATAACTTTTGCGCAACGTAAAAATTACTTTCTGTCGCGCAAGGTTCTGAAAATATGACCTTTGCGCGACCTAAAACATACTTTCGTCGCGCAAAGTTCTGAAAATATCACCTTTGCGAGACGAGACAACTAGTGTCATCGCGCAAGTTTGTCTAGCCGCCCAAATTTTGGGATTTGACTTTGCGCAGGGAAGATAAATGAAATGATATTGCGCGACAAAGAAACCTTAGTTCGTCGCGCAATCTAGCTTTTGCCAAAAAAAAATTCGCTAAGTGTTGGAGCGGAGAAGGGCTGCAATTTTTTTCATCGTTTTGCGCGACGAAGGTACTTCAGTTCGTCGCGCAATCTAGCTTTTGCCAAAAAAAAAATTTGCTAAGTGTTAGAGCGGAGAAGGCCTACAATTTTTTTCATCGTTTTGCGCGACGAAGGTACTTGAGTTCGTCGCGCAATCTACCTTTTGCCAAAAAAAATTCACTAAGTGTTGGAGCGGAGAAGGGCTGCAATTTTTTTCATCGTTTTGCGCGACGAATTCAAGGTGACTTCGTCGCGCAAACCCATACCCTTGTACCCTAAACCCTAAAACCTATACCCGAACTCCTGAACTAGTTTCAATGATCCAACCGGAAATCTTCTTTTTTTATAGTTCAAGATCGTATACGTTAAAAATCATAATGAATGAACATTCAGAGATTTAGTAACGGGACAAAATTTTTCGACGGTTCTAAACAAATTGTCCCGATTCAACGGTGATTTTAACTCTGATCTTGAAATTTTTTTACAGCTGCGGTTCTTGACCCTATATGAATACAGAGATGTAATTCGATCTTCAATTTCA